AAATGCTTAGTTCAATTAAATTAAATATTTTAAAAAATAATATTTAAATTTTTATGTAACTAATAATTTATTATATAATTGTTACCATGCTTGATATATAAAAGTAATGAAAACAAGATACTTTATCAAAAATCAATGGTAAATGTACATTAATTTTTAACTTTTCCTTATGGTATGTTTGTTTTAAGAATGAAGAGAATGGAAAAGAAAATTTTTTAACTAATTAAATTATAATGTTTTAAATATTATAATTTAATTAGTCAAAAAATCCTCTTTCCTTATTCCTTTCATTCCTCTCAAATCAAAAATATACTATTGATCCATAAACCATTGTCTTAACATATAAGCACTCAATTTATTAGTGTTAGGATGCAATAAAGAAATAATTTCTCTTAAAAATTTTTTAATCTCAACATAGATGACATGTGATGCATGACTATTAAACCCAAAAATTTATAGCCCAAAACATTCTCAAAAAAATAAAAAAAAATCTAATCCAAAGTAGAAGACGTTATCAATGTTTCTTTTAAAATAATATTTTTGGTTGGAATGATAATTTTTCAAACTAAATTTTAGAACGAAATTATTTTAACAGTTAATTAAATAATTTAATAAAAAATAAGGGAAATGGTTAGAGTTTATCTTAGAATAGAAATATTCTGGTCATGTTCATAAAAAAAAAAAAAAAAAATTATGTCATAAGGTCCCACGGATCTTGACTTTGATTCTTCACCCTGTTTTTTTGTTCGAACGGACACTGTTTTTCTCCGCTCACCATACTTCACCTTCAGTGCTTGAAGACTGAACGAGTAGAAGCTCGAATCCACTGAAATACTGAGGGAACATTTGGAAATGGAGAGCAGTGAAGAAGACGATGACTTCCCATCCATTGAGCGCATCACTCCACAGACCAAGATCGATTCCATCTATCAATCTAACACAGAAAAGGTCTTTCCTTTCTATTTTATTCACCATTTGCTGAAAATGGATGTCATTTCTTCTTCTTCTTCCTTCTTCTTCTTCTTTTTTTTTTTTTTTTTTTTTTTTTAATTTAGTGCTAATTTAGATAAGAGATTGCAGGTTTCTCTCTCTCTCTCTCTCACTGCATACAATTGTTCCTTTTTCTTTTTCTTTTTTAACTTGCTAATTTGATTACGGTATGTTTTCATTTCTAGTTCAATTTGAGGGACAAGTTGGTTTTTGGGTATTTGAGTATTTCTTTTATGGGGTTTCCTTGATTGGATTTATACTTAAATGGGTGGGAAATGCTCAGTTTTTTTGTGGACTTATTGTTTTATTAATTGAATGCTAAACTAAAAAATTCTGCTTTTTAGCATAAAGTACCCATTTTCCATCTTAGTCTTGGGAGCCTTTTATTTTTCGACATTTTAGTGGTACATCTGGGATGCATTTTGAATACTTCCATGCCATGGGAACCGTCTTCTATTGGATTTATTCTATTAAAGTTCTGTTCTTTGTGAAATGTAGTTCTTAATATAACACTAAAGTGATGATTTTATTCTTGATGTTTCTGCTTTGCATGAGCTGTATATCTATCAAGTTTTCTTTTTCCAAGTTTATTAATGTCGTAATTGTCATGAAATCTTTGAATTTCTCTAAGTTGAGCTAGAGTGCTACTGCAGGGTATCAGAAAACTCTGTTGTGAGCTGCTGAATCTGAAAGATGCTGTGGAAAACTTATGCGGTGATACGCAGGCAAAATATTTGGCTTTCTTGAGGTACTGTAATTTGCATCTTTATCTCGTAGTGATGATTAAACATGATTTAGTTTTCAATCAAGCGTCTGATCATGCTAACTCAGTTATGTTTGAAATGGTCTCCTAAGAGCTGTAGCTGTTGATGCATTGAATGATGGGCCAAATTTAATTAATGGTCTATTAACTTGCAAGTGATGATAAAAGTCATCTTGTGTTTATGCTATAACTATCTTGGATATACAACTCATACTGATGCATATTTGGTAAAATGTTTTTCTCCATGGTATTATATCTTTCTCTCCTCAGGTCTATATATGAACCAAAATGAATTAATTATTCAGTATTCCAGTCTAATCAATTTTATTTCCATTTCAATGGTTATGATATGGCCGTGTTGCAGGGTATCTGAAGAAGTTATTGAAATGGAGCATGAGCTGGTTGAGCTGCGAAAGCATATTTCTGCTCAAGGGATTCTCGTGCGGAACTTGATAACTGGTGTGTGCCGTGAACTAGAAGAGTGGAATCAAGCTAATGCTGACAATGGTGAAGCTCAGCCATTCCCTGAAATCAGTGAAGTTGAAGATTCCTTGCCAAGAGAAGCAGAAGACCCAATGATGATATTTTTGGAAAAAATTGATGTTCTCTTGGCTGAACATAAAGTTGAAGAAGCAATAGATGCTTTTGATGCTGAAGAAAGAAACTCTATTGAGCTAAAAGGTTCTGGAGATACTTCAAGCGAAGCATTTTCATACAAGTCTGCTTTTCTAGAAAGAAAGGCAATGCTTGAGGATCAGCTGGTTGAGATCTGCGAACAGCCTTTGATTGGTACTGCTGAACTGAAGAATGCATTGTCTGCTTTAATTAAACTTGGAAAGGGCTCTTCAGCTCATCAGTTATTTCTGAAGTCTTATGGTCTCCGCCTCCAAAGGAAGGTTGAGGTTTTTCTCCCTTCATGTTCTGTCTGCCCCAGGACTTTTCCTGCCACACTATCTAGGCTTGTTTTCTCTATGATCTCATTGACAACAAAAGAATCAGGTTCAATATTTGGTGATAATCCTATCTATACCAACAGAATTGTTCAATGGGCAGAATGGGAAATTGAATATTTTGTACGGTTGGTGAAGGAAAATGCACCATCTTCAGAAACAGTTTCTGCTTTACATGCTGCTAGTGTTTGTGTTCAAGATAGTCTTAAATACTGCTCAATGTTGGAATCACAAGGCCTGAAATTATCAAAGTTGCTTCTGGTGTTACTGCAACCTTTCATTGAAGAAGTACTGGAGTTGAATTTTAGAAGAGCTAGGAAGATGGTTCTTGATTTCACAGGAGTTGATGAGAGCATGCCGTTATCTCCTCACTTCATATCTCCTTTGTCTGCTTTTGCAACTTCTTCAGACAACATTCTGATTGATAGCGGAATAAGATTTATGTATATTATTGAAGTAAGTTGGTCCTTTTCACTAGGCTTTAAAAGCTAATAAGTTTACATCTTTGCATCAATTTTATCTGTAGTTCCCACCCATTTCTCGATAGGATGTAACACTCTACACTTAACTATAGATTAAGCCTGAAAATTTAGGACAGAGATGATTTTCAGATTTTGTAAAATCCAATTCTCTATGAAGACATATTGAAAAAGTTTCTGAGAATGAGGCAAAACCATCATGCTATATGTAAGATGTGCATGAGAGAAGCACGATGCTTATGCACTCTTATACTTAAATTTCATTATAAGTTTATGGATTCCATATGTGCGATGCCAATGCATGACAGCATGTTTTGAATTTGAAGATTGCAGCTTCAGTTTCTTTGTGTGTGCATGTGCATGAAGCATGTGGTATCTGCAAAGATTCTATATTTAAGCAGTTTAGTGTCTTCTTTCTAATCAAATATTTCATGTTTGATATGATATTAATATTTTAGTATCTTTGCAGGACATTTTGGAACAGCTTACTCCACTGGCTGTTTTGCATTTTGGAGAAAATGTGCTGACAAGAATATCACATTTGTTTGATAAGTATATTGATGCTTTGGTTAGAGCCCTTCCAGGCCCCTCTGATGATGAGAGCCTCACTGAGCTGAAAGAGGTCATAACTTTTAGAGCTGAAACAGATTCAGAGCAACTTGCTCTTCTTGGAGTAGCCTTTACAATTTTGGATGAACTTTTACACCCCATGGTAATGAAAGTTTGGAGTTCAAAGAGTGAAAAAAAGGATGAAGGAAACAAGAATATCATTCCTAATACAAGCACAACAGAATTAAAGGAATGGAAGCGCCATCTCCAGCATTCTTTTGACAAGCTCAGAGATCATTTCTGCCGCCAATATGTTTTGACTTTTATCTATTCAGGAGAAGGAAAAACACGACTTAATGCTCAAATTTATTTAAGTGGGAATGGTGAACCTCTGCCTTCTCTGCCTTTTCAGGTAATCTTTCTAAGTTTCTGTATAAGATGTTTTATGCTAGATGCTACTGTTGAATGTTGTGCTAATCTTTCCATCTAAATTTTAGTTCTTCTCTTCCTCAAATTCTGAGCCTTTTTTTTCCTTTTTGTTATTTTTGCAGGCTTTATTTGCAAAACTGCAACAGTTAGCAATTATAGCTGGTGATGTGCTACTTGGTAAAGAGAAACTGCAGAAAGTTTTGCTGGCTAGACTGACAGAGACGGTGTTAATGTGGTTGTCCAATGAACATGATTTCTGGGCTGTGTTTGAGGATGCGTCAACTCAGCTTCAGCCACTTGGATTGCTGCAGGTATTTATTTTTCCTCATGGTAAATTCTTTTCGTGCACCTCATAAGTCAGGCATTCCATTCACCACTGTGATTTTATTGTCTAGACTGCTGCTCCTTCTCATTTCCCATAATCCTCCCTGTGTGCTTTCACCTTAAAATCTAAAGCTTAATTATCTTACGTAAATTTGTTTTGGCAGTTAGTTCTTGATATGCACTTCACCATTGAAATTGCAATTTATGCTGGTTACCACTCTCGGTATGTGGAGCAGATTGCGAACGACATAATTGCTCAAGCAAAGAGGATATTCTCTAGTAGAGGCATTAACCCACAAAGGTACTCAGTACTTACACCCTTCCCATTTTGTCAAATGTTCTATTCTCAACTTTCCAGCAGTGACTGAAATTTCATCGTCTTGGCAGGGCACTCAAGTCAGATAAATGGTTTCGTGAAACTGCAAGAACAGCCATAAACAAGCTAATGGCAGCCTCTGGCTCAGACACATCTGAAATCGAGGAGGAGCATCATCCCAACCTACATGATGGAATGGTTTCAGACTCTGATGACACTACTTCTTCCTCGTCAACAGTGGAATCCGACGAGTCTTTTGCTTCTGCAATTATGGGTGAACTAGAGAGCCCCAGTTTTACAGATCCTGAAGCATAAGAATTAATAGTTCAGGTGCCAATGAGGAACTTTCTGATTCTTAAGACAGGATCTTCTCTGATCAAAATTTTCATCTCTTGCTTAGGATAATTCAGAATCTTGTAGCTGATTGAATCTTTACACATCTTAATACTAATCGTTAAATATGTTGTGAAACTGAAATACGAAAGGAAGCATGAGCTGATTTCGTCAACCATATCAATTTTTAAAATTGTATTCATGCAGATAGTGAGGTTAGTATTTTGCAGAACACCTGCATCATACTTAAAAACACATGCAATTTTAAACCAACGTTTCATTAATTTGAGTAGAAATAACTCAATTTTTTTTAAAGATATCGAATTAAAGCTTTGTAAATAAAAAAATAAGCGTTGGAAAAGTTTTTTTTTTATGGATTCAACACGATTAGATTTTAGATTAATTGAGATCAAAATAATTTTTGAATACTAAAAGGTTACAATTAAATGAGAAGGGATTGTTCCTATATTTAGGGCTTCTCATTTTATGGTTTATATTTATTTTAAAAAAAAAAAAGTGAAGTGGCCTGTGGAAACACCCTTCACTTAACCATCAATAGCCCCTTTCATTATTTTGTAGTTGTGCATTTTGTTATATTTATTACTATTTAAAAAAAATCAAAATTAATGAGAATTTTTAATAATAATAATAATAATAATAAAGGATTCATGCTAATAATAATGTGTATCATTTTATAATCTAAATTACTTTAAATTGTAGAGTATAAATTTTTTTTACAATGGGAACTCTAAAGGATAATAATAATAATAATAAAGGATTCATGCTAATAATAATGTGTATCATTTTATAATCTAAATTACTTTAAATTGTAGAGTATAAATTTTTTTTACAATGGGAACTCTAAAGGTTAAATAGTCCTCTTTTATAAAAAAATTTAATATTTTACTATATAAATTAGTTCAGATTATAAAATATTTTTTATAATAACAATAATGAAAAAAACATTTTAGAGTTTAAATTATCTTTTTCAATTTAAGACAATTTAAATTATAAAATGTTAATTATTTAATAAGAGTTAAACCCCTAATATTAAAGTTTTTTCCTATTAATCAATTTTTATTTTAAAACATAATTATCTAATAATAATAATAAAAAGGGAAAATATCAAGGTTGGGCTAGAACAGCGCGGGAAAGAAATTAGGTACGGAGAATGTAAAAGCGAGCGAAAACTGAAAAGCACACTCAAGATTAAGGTCTTCGAGGGTTAGGGTTTGCAGTGGAAAGGGAGAAAAATGGGGGAAGGGAGGGGGACGATAGGAAGCATAAATTTAAGCCGCAAAGATGATGAAGAGGAAGTTAATATAAGTGGCCATGTCCATCAGCTCCCTTGCTGCATCAAATTCGACGGTCATTGTTCTGTTTCTCACTATTTCAAACCCAGACCCACAGGTAAGCTTTCTGCTCAGATATGCCTATGTGTTTCCCTGTATCAAGATGTACATAGATGATGGTTGTTTTTGGGCTCTATGTAGATATTGAAGTGGATGGATTAAGAGTGGAAGAAGCTTACTTCAGGGGCAGAAAGCTGCAAGGAACTTCCATTTCCCTTCCAAATGGCTACTCGGGTATGTTGTTAGCTACCTCCCAAAGTGTATTTTTGTTAGCATTTAATTTGAATCCCATTCAAATTTTACTTAAAAGAGGTTTCTTTTTTTTTCTTTTTTTGTGGTTTTTTATGCTGAAGGCCTGAGTTTTGATTTCTAATTTATTCCATTATCATAATTTTCATTTTTTGGTTGAATATATTCTTTGGACCTTTTTAATTTCTGTTGTTTATTGTGGGGGAAAAAGTTCAAAACTTTGCCTGAGGTTGGAGGGGTACTTATAGTGAGGTTTTAACATCTAGGAGGCATCTGGGTTGGCGTTTTTGTAGAAGTTTAGATCAGAATTTGGGTTGATTCTCTTACTTTTGTTGCATTATACAGTATCTTTTTTGGACAAGTTGTGAAATGTTAGTCTTTTTGGTTGTTCCTTTGAAGGCTTTGTTCTGGGAAAGAAGAGCTTGGGCAAAAGAAAATTTTGTGACGATGCTTCTGAAGGTAACACAAACTGTTGGGAGATGAAAGCAAAATTTGATAAATTGGCATATTGGAATCATGAAAGCCTTCCTTCAAAAGACGATGCTTTTGTACGATGTTTCCATTGGTTTGCTGTAGCTGAAGCGGTAAGTTTCTCTTTCTTATATGGTGCTATATTATGAATGATATCTGAGGCCTGATTTCTCAGGATACAGACTTACATCAAGAGAGGGAAAGGGACATAATAACTATATAAATTTAAGGAACCCAATTTTCAGTATTTGGTTAGCCCTTATAAGTTATAATACCCTTGTAGTTTACATACAGAATTAAATCTAGAATCACTCTGTGATATTTGAGGCTGCTGGTGATGTTTCTGCTGTGAATTTATCCTTCGAGCATGGCATCTGGCTGTGGCAACAAGCCTAGCAGGAACTATACTCTGGGATATCACATTACTTAGTGGTGGAGTGAGTGGCCTACCCTCATGACA